TACTGCAGTACTTAAACAATAGAAACTAAGTGAGACTTCATTAAATTACACTGCGACCCTCACAAAGTCCCAAAGGGGTACTAATCTCTAACAACCCACAAAATTCATGTATAATCCTCCAATAACAATTCCCTCTAACCTTCAAAAGGCATCGGAAGGCAGTCAATTTTGCCGTATTACCCACGGATGAACGTAATGTATTGCCTTAAGGGACCTCATAGTAGGACAAGGACACACTATTGTTTCGTGAGCCGTTTTGCAAGGCTATGCATTTTGTAACCTTATTGATATTTTGGTTTTAATGAGATATTGTATTTTGATATCAGTTTGTTTTTTCGTAAGCGATTTCCTTTTGTTGAACATTGACTTGAAGTGGTATCGTCACAATTTCTTGACCTGTTGCATTCATTGGATTTTTAATCCTTTTTTTTTCTGTGCGGAACTTCCCTCGGATACCACCTACCAGTGGGTGATTAAGTCGGACACGAACTGACCAAAAACCGCACGCCACGTCTCCAGGTACCAGTAGCTTGGGAACCAGGTATACCCTAGAAAGGAAAGCCCTAGTACCCCGACGTACCTCAGGCCATCTATGGCTTATAGAAGAGTAGCAAAATTGTTCATAATTCGCTTGTTGGTAACCGATAACCTGTACTATTGTGTAAACACTTGCAGCATTAGAGGTCTTCTTCCGAAGCAGAGTCTTAAGGAAGGATGCTTCTCAGCCTCTCTATTTTCAACTTAGCATATAATTATCTATCTACATATATATACAAATATTAAGTCGGTTTGTGTATGTTTCAAAACCTCAAAAAGTTCTACACCGATTGAGCTCAAATTTTGACATAAGATACAACCCGCTTCATAGATTGTTTTTATCTATTTTTTCGAGTCAACTTTAATCCTCAATCCTCATCAATGCAACCACTATATGAAACAATGAAGCGTGGCTGGGTACATCCAGTTACAAATAAAACTTATACTTTTCAGGAAGAATTTGACTGCACGGATGGCGTAGTGGTTTAAGCGGTCGCCACGCCGCTTACTACAATGCCGAGTGTTGTGGGTTCAAACCCCACATGGGACGACACTTTGTGTGACCCACAAATTGTTGTTCTGAGTCTGGGTGTTCTTTGTGTCCGTTTCATGTATGTTTGTTAAGTCCCCCGCGACACAGGATATATTCCTAATGCGGGCGTTGTCTTTTTTAAAATAAAAATAAAATAAAAAATTACTACAAAAGTCTGATTCAGATTGAGCGGGTAATACTTTAGTACTTTATGACTTTATCTTATTCAAAGAGTAATTTAAAAAATAAATAAAAAAAGTATACCAAGTAACAAGGTACTAACTTAGCTTTGGTAGCTTTCAGTACCAGCAAAATCATAATTATCTTTCGGCTCTTTAATCATTTTTCTTGAAGGATTTTTGACAGCTCTTTATTGTGGCCGGTTGACTGACGCCAATTCTCATTGAGGATGTAAACGTTTTCGGACGGCACAAAAGAAGAGATGGAATTGAGGTTAGGGAAACGAATAGAGCGAGCGTTTTCGGCTTTGTATTAATGAAATGGTTTTGAATATTAAATCACACTTTTGAAGCGACCACAATCTGACTCGACCCTTAGAAGCAGGTTACAGTGCAGTACACCACTGTAGCAAGCAGTGGTGTACCTACTGCTTACTGCAGTGGTTACTGTAACCTATCTAAACTAAGTAAGCCAACAAGCCAAATTATATACAAATATTCTTTTTCGTAACAGATAATATTTTTTTGTTCTTCCTTTGAATTTGGAACTGTGAAGATGTACAAATTGAAATAAATTTCTAACAATAAATAAAACAAATTCTGTACAATGACGTCACTCAACGTCAAAATCAACCGCTCTAAACAACAGTCTCAACTTTATTTACGGTGTTTTGCAACAATTCCTTTTGTAGAAGTTAGAACATAGCCACTCACGGAACCCTCTCATTTATATTACAATGAAATGTAACAGAACAAAACAAACCATATACAAATATATCGAATTGTTCACTTCTGTGTTTCAAAAACAAAATATTTGTATTACATTAATTTAACCTCAAAAGCCTTTGTGCTTAAACCACAATATTCATTAACAAATCACAAAACATGATCCAAAACTGAAGTTATTCGAATCATTAAACTCTCAAAATCATTCCGGAAATATTGATCTAGAACAATAGACAACTTACAAATCTTATGAGCATACAAGTCATCAACATAAGAATAATCCTCCTCATACACCTCACACACGGCCGTCTGATCCTGACTGCTGATTATTAATCGACTTCAAAAAGGAGGAGGTTATCAATTCGGGTGTTTAAATTTTTTGTCTCTGTTCTGTTATTTGGACGGATTTTCAAGGTTTTTTTTTGTTCGAAAGAGGTTTTTTCCAAAATAGTCCCAATTTAATTTTATATAGATCTGATGATGAGTTCTGGAGACAGACGACGGAACTCTACAAAAAATGACAGTAAAAAACCACGAAACTAGATTTTCCCGCTATTTGTTAGTATTGTTAGAAGTGGGTTCAACTTAAAAAAATATTAAAATTATTATACTTATATATTTCTTATTAGACACTCAAGAAACAGCAGCGCCGAAAACGGTCACCGTGATGATCGACTAGATGTGATATAAACTGTCACTTGGGCCTCTGTCATTTGTTGCCCTCTGTACCATAGAAAAAAAAAAACAGTGACGCCAATAAAAGCTTATTAAATAACGATAAATGTTCATAAAAAAACTTATCCGTAAAATCTTTCCGCATTGACTCGAAAGTACAGATGAGATACCCTTATTAAGTAATCGACAGACTCTATACAAATAATCTGGGGATTTCCCCTAAAATCAAAACCGCTCATAACGACCCATTACCGCCCCGAGGCTGCTATAAAGAAAGTGTACAAAGGCGGGATTAATACCCATTCCTATTACAGGCCGTCCGGTAATTATCCTTGATACAGTTTATGGGGAGACCCTCAAGAGGATTTCTATGCATCTCTTCAAGGTTGTGACTTGTGGACGAATAATAACGTGGATTTTATTGACCATCCGTTAATACAGTACGGTGACTTGGATTTATTGAGCCTTGTATTCCGGCTGAAGAATATACATTTCTAGTTTAATCAATTCCTGTGTCTTTAAAAGTAAGAATTTGAGTGTTATTCACTCACTATTTATTTTTCTCAAAGGGATAGTCAGTCTCATTAACTCCCATATTTTGCATACTATAATTCTAGTCCCACTTATATACATAAATCGCGGTCACATATCACATTCTAAATAAAAAAACTCATACTTTTCTGTACTACACACATATTATAGATATATTCTATGAAGTTTAATATTTGTATTAAAATTTAAAAATATTGGTAACTTTTTTAGCTGGCTTTTATTTTACTGGCCCAAATTGTCTATTAAATTTTGACATTTTGATGGCAGTTTGTTTATCCCTTTACTGTAGAAGTCTGCTGGATGGGAGGTGATGAAGTCAGCGGTAGCGTTTTGTACTGCCTCTCAGCTGTTGATTTTTTTCCCACATTTTTTTTTATAAATTTTGACAAAGTAGAAATCTATTGGGTCAAGGTCTAGTGTGAACGGTGGGTGGCGGAAAGCTTCCAGCTGTAATGGTGATTTGTCGTAAAGTGTGATCTCGCGCGTTGTTGTGAAGAAGCAATGGGGAAAAGCTCATGACGAGTCGTGGTTGTTGAATTGCGAGCTTCTCCATCATTGTTTGCAATTCTTGGCAATAGACATCTGCCATCACTGTCGTGCCAATCAGTAAGAAGCTGTGATGCACAAGTCCGTTATTGGACTACTAGGCAGTCATTATCATCTTCCTATGGGTCCATCGCATTCCTATGGGTAATCTTTATTTTAACGCACTGATTAGAATCTGTAACCGGATTGACCCACTGAGACAAATGCTTACGGTTATCGTACAGGATCTACTTATCATCGCAGGTTACAATTCGATTCAGAGTGCCCTCGTTTCTATGCCGATTCAGTAGTGCTATGCATTATTCGACGCGGAATTCTTGCTGATGGTCCATGATGATCTTGGGCTCCAATAACCGCACTCACTCGTTGAACTGAATACTAAAACTCTTTTTTACCTTCAAATTCAATTCGCCATTAAAACATTTTTTTTGTTTGACTAGAGTGTAATTTCTTTACGTAACGTTAAATGTCTGAATTCTAACTAGTACAATGACACAGTTATTATAATCTACAGGCATTTTGAAGCAAAACTTTCAAAATTATAACCCTTTTTTGTGACTATGGGTGTATGACAAAGGTGTTTATGCTAAGTGGAAGGGTGTAAATAACGATAGACTATTTACATTTGGTGTCATTGACACCATCTGGGGATGAAGTGCGACGTAAATCTGTACTACTCGTACTAACCTTTTTGATTTACTGCCTAACTATTTTCATAATGTCATATTAGAATTCTAATTATTGAACATGGCAAAAAATGCCTTTTTGGAGTTCTATTTACGGTTTTCAAAAAAAAAGTTAAGTTAGTATAAATGGGAATTATAAGATGGTAAAAAAAAACTTTACTAGTACAACTTAGTAAGACTTAGTAAGTCGGTTAAAAAATTGGCTTTTTTAACCGACTTACTAAGAAGGTTTATGCATATGATTCCATTTTTTTTTTGATTATTTTAAATTGTTCTTGTTTTACTTGAATTCGTTTTATTCAATATTTGCACCAATTAAATTTAAAGACTCCATCGTGGAGTTGGAAAATTTATGTAAGGTCTAATACAGTTTATTATCATTTAAAAAACATTTTCTTTTTTAAAGGATGATTGATTATATATGTATGATATTTTAATAATTGAAGTAACTAACTGTTTGTTAAGTTTTAAGATACCGTTACAAAATAAATAAAAAAATAAATAAAGTATGAACAATTTTAATTCATATCAATTTCAAAATTAAACTTCAAAATTGAGAATGTTCGATCAATGATGAACTGCGATTATAGGTGCGTGATGTTTCACAACGGGAAGGACCGGCGCAGCATGTACGATCGGTGCGTGAACTACTGGCGCGGGATGCACAATAGCGCTGTGGGACACCGCTACGGGATGTGCTACGGCAACTGGATGTGCTACGGCAACTGGATGCGCTACGATGGGATGCGCTGGGACGACTGGTGCGATAATCCCCGCGTGCGCAATCGCAACGAAAGCGAACAATATTGTCTGTAACAGTAACAGTAATTAGTAGACTTGCAACGAATATTCGGTTACTATTCGGTATTCGGCCTATTCGGCTGCTTTTATTATATTCGGCCGAATACCGAATATCTACATATTATTCGGCCGAATACCGAATACTTAAATAATATATTTTGTCATTGAGAAATAATTGGTAAAATGAAAAATTAAAATCGATTGATTACGACGTATACATTCATATTTTCATTTCTGTTATAATCATTTAAGTAGTCATTGGTGCATAACACAGGTACATAATCATCTTCTGAATTGGAAAAATGGAGGATTCTATGTATTTGAATTATTGTGGTAATCAAAATTTAGAAGGGTAAGGTTCTCATTTCTTTTATAATCATTTATTAAGTAGTCATTGGTACATAAAACAGGTACATAATTCAATTCACGTCTGTACAAGTTTTTGCCGCTAAAATCCAGCCGAATACTTTTGCCTAATATTCGGCTATTCGGTCAGGGGCCTCGCCGAATATTCGGTATTCGGTATACTGCCGAATATACTATTCGTTGCAAGTCTAGTAATTAGTTGAAGATAGTTAGGCCACCTCACTTTCTGGTCCTAGTAGCCTCATAACGGATATAATATGGGCACGTGAACCCAGCTCTTCGAGCCACTGCAGTCTCAGCTCTATCGTCTGTCTAAGTCTTGCGGTACTCTTTACTTCAGTTCCCTCGCCCTTGCACCAATTTTTTTTTTTTTGGCCTGACTGAAAAAGATTATATTCTCAAGGTGGATAGGCGTCAAGCAGGTGGACGACCATCAAGTAAACCATTCTTGAGCCTTTTGCAATTTTACACATCTAGAATACAGTGTCACCACCCCTATTCATCCCGTGGGTGTCGTAAGAGCCGACTAAGGGAGCAAACTACCTAGAACAAGAACTATTGTAAAGAGAAGGAAAATTTGACACAAACCCTATACTAACCCATCTGGCCAACGTGGTATGGTAGGCCAAAACCTCCTTCCTAGGAAGAAAAGGCCTATGTCCAGCAGTGGACTATTAAAGGCTGTTGATGATGGTGGTACATGACTACCACCACCAATGGACACCTGCTACTTAAGAGTCCTAAGTGAGTTTCCTAGCCCAGAATCAGGAGCAATCACTCAGTAAAAAACAATGAAATACAATTATTTCATTGTTTTTTACTGAGTGATTGCTTTAACCGGGGTTTAACAATAAACCCCGGTTTTTACTGACGCCGTGATATCACTTCAGCCGAGCCGACTAATTTATACCGAAGCCACGGATTTCAGTATTTTCATATTTTTTTTATGGTATAAGGGGGCAAACGAGCAGACGGGTCACCTGATGGTAAGCAACTACCGCCGCCCATGGACACCTGCAACTCAAAAGTCACAGGGTTGCTGCCCTTAGGGTCCTTGCTGACTCAAGCTCGGGTTTGGGCTCCGGTACCCTCACTCACTCAGTGAAAGGCAACGAGAAAATTTGCCTAACACCGGTTTTCTGTGAGGCCGTGGTATCAATTCAGTCGAACCGGACCATTTGTGCCGAAGCATGGCTCTCCCACAGTAAACTTACTTGTATACTTATTATAAGAGAAATTCATTTACAGGATACTTAAATATCAGTTACAAGTCTCAAAATAATGTGGGTACTACGTGATAAATATGTATATTATTATTTTGACTGCACGGATGGCGTAGTGGTTTAAGTGGTCGCCACGCCGCTTCCTATTGCGCCGAGTGTTGTGGGTTCAAACCCCACATGGGACGACACTTTGTGTGATCCACAAATTGTCCTTCTGAGTCTGGGTGTTCTTTGTCGGACACAAATTTTATGTATGTTTGTAAAGTCCCCCGCGACACAGGATACATTCCTAATGCGGGAGTTGTCTTTTTAAAAAGAATAAAAAAAGAAAGAATATTGCTACACCAATATAAATAATTTGACAACAAACAAGATCAAAAGACCCACTCTGATAAAACAGTCTTTCTTTTTGCGTTGAGTACATTTCCAGACAGTTTTTTTTCGTACATTTCCAGATATATTTTCATCAAATGATTTACGAAACACAACTGTTGTTAAACATTCTCTCAAGTCTGTGAGCACTGTGAGTCTGGCAGGTGATAAAATAGCTAAAATTATTATAAAGATGTCTTGTGTCATATTTTCAATCTTAAATTTCAAATACAATATAAAATTTATGTTTTCAAAATAAACAAATAGGTATTTTTACTAACTAAATAAACTCTAGTTCCAGACCAAATACGAGATAGATTTATAGATAAATTGCTCTTTATTTGCACGCTAACGTAATGCAGAGAGTGAGAAACAAAAGATGTATCGGATCAATGATGTACAAAAAGAGAAATAGAAATTCGTTCTTCCTTTTATTTAAAAAAAACTAATGTAAATTCTTTTTAAATGCTTTCGCGTCGTTAATCTGATTGCACTGAAACTTTATACTTCAAGAGGTAACTTTCATGAGGCAAAGGCACAATGGCTTTTTTGTTAATATATTCGGACCAACCAGTGGAATTTGTGATCATTAATACAACATAGATTCTATGTTTGTCTATCCAAAAAAGGTAAAGTCCCTATTTTCTTTGCTCTTTCTATTTTGATCATGTCTGGTATGGTTATAATACAGCACGAATGTTTATATAGTTATAAACCTAAAATGAATTTCGGCGTGGTCTAAGTTCTTTCATAAAATATAACTAATTTAAGTCAAAGTACTTAATGAAATAAATTAAGTAAGTGAAATTGGCATTGTACTAATAAACTTACTAAAACTAAATCAATTTTAGTGCGGTGCGATGATTTTAACTTAACTATTTTGTACACGACTCAAATAGTTTACTTCGAAATAATATAAAATGTTTTTCTAGTGTCAATATTGTGCGCTTGTGGTAAACATTCAATGATAACAAAACTCTATTTTTTGAATAAATGTCAATTCTTATATGGTTTTCAAAAAAGCTGTTGAACAACGAAAAACCAATCTTATTGAGAGGATTTAAATTAGGCTTAGGCCCGTGACTAACTGGTCACACATTACATACGTACGTAACACATTGCGAAGGTAAGCAATACTAGCCAGGTCAATCTATGGATGGGTGACCATTCTTAATACATTGAGACCACTTCGTGCCTCAGAAAGCTTAACGAGCTCTTAGCTTTATAATATTAGTGTAATAGGTACATCCTATGTTGTTTAATTTTCTCCAATATATGCATCATCAGCCTATCGCAGTCCACTGCTGGACATAGGCCTCATAGGCGTCGATTTTGGGCATCTCGCATCCAACTCCTGCTCAAATCGTAACTCCACCAAAGCAATATTTACCACAAAATAATTACTATTTTTTATTATTTATTTAAAATAAGTATTTTCATATTATATCTGTTTTCGGTAGATTCCCTTGCGTTTATATAAACCTACGTACTGCTGTACTCCTAAGGGTCATAGAGTGATATTATGTTGTTATGACCTTCTTCAATTAAAACACTATCCAAAACAAAAAGAAATTATCCAAATCACACTGATAGTTTCAGGGATGAACGTGTATAAAACAAACAAACTCTACAGAAATTTATTATCTTATTATATTAGTTTAGATTAAATAAAGATTTATATAAAATCTCTTACCAGCTTGAACATATTGTAGCGATTTATTTGTAATTGTGTGTTAATCGACTCGTGCAGGACGACTGTGTACCTAGATCGCCTAGGTACCGTCCTTTTATAGCCCTACAGTCTACGGTCTAGGCTACATGCATCTACTGTAATAAATCTTACCGTTTGGCAATCTGCTACTTCAATGCTCAGCTGTAGTGAAGTGTGCGTACATCGAATTGCCCTAAATATTCATAAACTACAACGATCAGAGTAAACAATAAATTTAGCGTTTAAAAATTGATATCTGGCGTAATAAACTGTTTTTTTTTGTCATTCCTTAATTTTTCACTCTTAGAGGTGGAGTTTTTTCTTCAAATTAAATAAAAATTCTAGTAGATTCATAAATTAAAGACTTCCGAAGTAACAGACATTTTTTGAAGCTGTTTAAAAAAATGTTATTGATCTAAAGTATTACACGTCCCGCAAGTTGTGTAAAGCGATAACAATTTTAATATTTTTAATATAGCAATTTTATTTTCATACTAATAAATATAGTTGAAATAAGAAATCAATAAAACGAAAAAAATTTTTTGGGACATTTGACACAAAACGCCATCTTGTTTCAAACTAAGCAGAGTTTGTACTATGAAAGCTAGATTGACTGATAGAATACTTATATACTATTTTTGTAAATACATACATATTATACATAGAAAACACCCAAATTCCGAAACAAATATTTGCAGATCATACAAACATTTAGTCCCACCCGGGAATCGTACCCGAGACCTCAGCACAGCAGTCGCATCAATAAAATTTATTCGGTAAGCATAGGTAACACTCTTAAATCGCACCTTTCTGCATTGTCGTACTAGCGTCTATTATCGAGACCAATTCTAGAATTTGATATTAAGGCTATACAAGATTACCACTGTTCACGATAATAATATATATGTATATTATAGATGTGAAAGTGTATTTGTTCGCTACGCTATTGCATCTAAACCACTAAACCGATTTTACGAACTGTTTGTGTTTTACCGATGAGAAGCTAGTAACAAAGGCTAATTTTTAGCCTGATAACTGACATACACACGGTCGGAACATCTTGCCAAGTCTAGTCTAAAATAAATTGGAAATATCTTATTTGTAAATAAAATGTGTCTGTAATCTCAATGTTATAAATACTTTATACTTATGAGTTATTTGCTAACAGTAAGCCATCAATAGATAATAAGAAGTAAATTCTTACAAATAATTAGTTTTAAACGTTTAAATTGAATTTAAGAGGAATACATTTCAAAAACACTCATTTTTCTTAAAGCAATACAAACTATTAATGTTACAAAAATTGTTTCAAGCTTACATTATACTATTTATACGTAGTTTCATTGATATTAAGGTAACAACAAAAAGTCTATTTTTAGCAATAAATTTCGTAGAAGCCTACTTAAAGGCAAATAAACACAATATTTAAACCACTTACATCTCAGAGTAGTAATAATATACATTAAAGAAAAACAGTCATGGATTGAACTATACATAAAAAAGGTTCTTTTAAAGTATTTCAGAGACAATGGACCTCTTTAGAAGAATTTTATACAGAAGGACAAAGGTTTCCTAAAAATAGGATAAAAAAATGCCGGTACCTTTTCTTCACTAGACTATTGACTATTAGAATTGAATCTGGAGTCGATATTCATTGTATTATTTTAAGGTATAAAAGTTTGCCGGTCGACCATCCGTCTGTAAATTTTAAAATTGAAGATGTCTCCTCATATTATTTACTGAAGTGTCTGTTCAGTGTTTTATTTTGTGTATGTAAACATGTCGATAGTGCATTCGCTCTTTTATTGCCGTTGTAAGATTCTGCTTGACGTAGTTTTAAAAGATTTTCTTTTCATATTTAATGTGTGGTAAAAACGTGAATTTTAAAATTCGCTTAAATATTTTGATCATATTGACTGATTCTACAAACAGTTTAGGTATTGACTTTGACATTACAATAAAAGCTGTTTTTTTTTGTTTAAAACAAAATGCTTGAGGAAAAAATATGGATTTAATTTCACGCACACAGTTTCTCAGCATTTCCTCACGCTTCACGTTATTCTATTTGGTATTCGCGTAGTGTGTAATATTTAAAAAGATTTTGGCTGGTTTTTTTGACGGCGGTTTTTTTTTATCGTTTTCCGTCGGGACAAAAAAAGGGATAAGCACAGGGTCGAGGAGGAGAATGCTTAGCCGTATCTTCATCTTATGATTGGACTAGGACAGGGACATAATCTTTCTCATGATCAGCATTGTCCGTGTAAAGACCGTAAAGTGATCTTGAACTGCTGTTTTTTGGCTTGAATTATTATTTAATAGATGCCGTCAACTACAGAAATAATTGAGTTCGTTCTCAGCTGCCTGCCATAGGCGTAACATTTGATTTGCAGGTCACCATTTGAATGTCACCACCCCTATTCATCCCGTGGGTGTCGTAAGAGCCGACTAAGGAAACAAACTACGTAGGACAACAGCATTGTAAAGAGAAGGAAAACTTGACGCAAACCCTATACCGACCCGTCTTGGCACCAAGGTATAGTAGGCCAAAACCTCCTGTCTAAGGAGAGGCCTATCAGGCCTATCAGGCAGCAGTGGACTATTAAATGGTGTTGATGATGATGATTATCATAATAAGACCAAGAAACTTGATTTAAAAAATTAAGGAATAAACTATTTTTTTTTGTGGCCCTGCTGAATGTAAGGACTATAATTAGGGTCATCGCACTAAGTGTTTGCGACGAACACGGTCCTACTTTTACATCTGTTTTTCATCCCGGCGTCCTCGTTATACTTTAAATTAGGATTTATTATCTTATTACACTTGAAGGAGCATGTTAAAATTAATTATAATAATATCTTAAAAAGGCTCTTGAATCGCGGTTTCTTGGAAAATAGAAGAGAATCTTGAACCGCAAATTTAGATAAGAATATTAATTTGGTCAAAATATATAAATTGGTTGACGTATTTGCTTTCAGTACCTTTGTGATTTTTGAACCCCCTAAATTGACATTATATTCATTTAGCTCTACTATAGACAACATAAAGTTGTTAGTTCATCATCATTATAATCATCATCAACAGCTCTTAACACAGTCCACTGCTGGACATAGCCCTCTCATTGACATAGGCCTCTCCTTAGTACTTGTTAGTTAGTAATTATTATTTGGTAAAGAATATCCCACAAATGTTCAATTTAACATTTTACTTTCTAACTATATTAATAAAAGTTATGGTGGCACTCAGACAAAAAAAAAACTTTAAACTTTAATTCTAAGGAACTAATTCGAACTGCCTATGTTCTCGTGGTAAGTGATCTTACTTGCTAAGCTAGAGATACATAATTGTGTGATGGGTAAAATGTATAAGTATTATGTTAACAGCTAATTGCCATACGAGTAATACAGGCTCTTTGTAATTTGAAAGAGAAGGCCGTGTGCGAGATGTCTCAAGTTATTTTTTTAAGCGGATAATAATCACCGCCATTTTAGAACGATCAATTTAAACCGATCGTACTGTAATAAACTTTTGTGATCTTACTTGGATCGAGATATTATTGTATACGACCGTAGATTGTATGCGCTAATTGAAACTGGTTTGTTAAACTGTGTGAATCTTTGGGTCTGTGTATATTAACGTTTAACATTTATATTATTGATAATTTATTAAAATATATCAAACTTAATAAAAAATTAAAGAAGTCTACAATCCATTTAAACAAGACACACATTTAATGCGAGGGTATGGAGTAAAAAAACTGTTGATGTATGTAAGTTGTAGAGTACTAGACCAGAGAATAAGCAATATAAAATGTCCGGGGCATTCAAATCCTCTGACTTAACAAGTAGGAACTAAACTAACTTAGTTACCTTAACGGCTCAGGGTCGGCTTTAAGTCTACAACGATATGGCTGTACTTAGATTTTTACGCGGAGTGACTGCCATATAATATGACTCCACAACTTAAGTACTAGGCAAGATCGAAGTTATGTAAAAAGACTGTTGTTAAAATTTTTAAGACTCCAAGTACCCGTAACGATTGCCACAGATCAAGGGTCTCAATGTAATAATAATAATAACTTCATGTTTTTTAGCACAGGGTTGCCATATGTATTTTTTAATTTATTTCTGTCTATCCTTATATAAATTGTTTGTCGTGTATCTTAGAAATAAAACATGTTTTCTTTCTTTCTTTCTTTCTTCACATATCTCACACATGGCCCTCTGATTTCAAACTAGGCAGAGCCTGTACTATGGGAACCAGACTGCTGATAAACATACTCATATATTTCTAAATACATACATATCATAGATAAATTACACCCAGACAGAATAAATCACACAATTATTTATATTGAGTAGGAATCGAACCCACGACCTCAAGCTGAGCAGTCAGGGTTATTAACCACTAGACCAACAGGCCGCAATGCATCGCAATGTGTTAAGAATGGTCATCAATCCATAGACCGATACGACTAAGATTGCTTAACCTATTAGGTTACCACTTAGCCACGACGGGCCACCACCCCCCTACCAGGCTCTTTCTACAAACTAAAGATTAAATATTCATAATAGCTCAAATTCTTTTCACACCAGATCATCATAAATATCAATCCAGTGTCTATATCAAATAAATTCACGATATGAAATCCGTCAGCCCCAGTATAAAAAGATACGGTTATCGACCAAGTAACATTACGGAAGAGCGACAATTTCCTTCTCATTGTACATCATGTCGGAATATTTTTAGAGGAAAAAATATCGAAGGAAAAATTACGAGTCAGTAAAATATAGAACAGGTGAATGTACTACGAGGAAAAGAATAGATAGTCGAGTCAATGAACTGTTAAAATGTTCGGATGAAGGACTTACAACTGAATCAAACGTGGATTACCAAGGATCATACGCAGTATATTTTAATGTCTTAATTTTATGCGGAATAAAATATGAATTGTATTATCGTGAAATAAGACACTTGTATTTAGAAGCCTACTTAT